GGAGTAACACAAATGTAGCTATATGAATTATGTTGTGATAAAAAAAAAATCCTCAATAATTTAATATTTTAGCATCTTCAAAGTAGACACGCATTTTGCCTAGAATTTCCAGAAATGTATTCTTGGCAGAAATGTATTCCCATGAGATGATTTTTAAACCGAATCAAAGGAGTTCCCACCTACATTGGACACTTATTGGCTGCTTTTCGCAATATTTCGTTCCGAGTCACCCATTTAAAAAAATGTGTGTGTGTGTGTATGTATGTATGTGTGTGTGTGTGTGTGTGTGTGTGTGTGTATGTATATATATATATATATATATATATATATATATATATATATATATATATATATATATATATATATATATATATATAAATAATGAATGAAAGAAATGAATATGTTGGCACGATTATCTTTTTGTCTTCAACACTGATTTCAAACATTTAATCACACACCTTCAGATCAAAATGTTTTTAAGATCATGAGATCCATTTTGTGTCCCCAAACTTTTGACCTGTTGTGTAGTGTAGTTGATGGACATCCTATATACTAAAGGAAAACTGTATCTTCAGTCACAAGTGTAAAAGCAGTACGGAACCTTTTCCACTAAATGATCTTGAACACCGTTTCTCTCTCCACAGCGGCCTCAATATGCGGAGCTGCGTTCCATCATGAACCAGATCCCCAACGTCCAACCTGACCTGCTAGAGCAGTTCGACCAGAAAACCATCAACCCTGCATCGCAGAAAGTTGGTGAAAAGAAGAGAAAAGACCAGTTTAAGAAGCTCATTGCAGGAGCTGTAGGGGTAAGACGCACACCGCCCACAAAGGGGAGCCACTTCTTATTCTCTATTGCTATACGTCCAGGCTCCACTGATTTCTGTTGCGTATATGGAATATGCGTATATGACTGTTTTGATTGAGCCGACGAAACGAGCCTCACAGTTGTGTAATGGAAAGAGTGCTAGCTAAACGCCCAGTCATGAAGAGTCATTTATTTCCTCTTTCATCTCTGAGTATCGGATCACATTTTTTTTATAAATATCTGAAATTTGTTTATTTTTATTTTTTCTTTCGTTCCCTTAACTTTTGAGTCAGGTTTTCTTATTAGTCAAGACTCAGACTTTCCTTCCCCGCCCCCGCTCCCCGCATACTGATGCTCGACTCTCTTCCTCTCAACAGAAACCTCTTGGTCAGCAGTTTAAGAAGGAGGTCCACATCCGAAATCTTCCCTCACTCTTTAAGAAGGTGAAGCCTAGCAAAGACATTGTGACTAACAGCGAGAATGCTGGATTGATCTCGCTCTTTTCACCGGAACATGCTGATCATTAGGCTGTTTTTTTTTTTTTTTGTAGTTTTTTTTTTTAATTGAACACCTTATTACATCCTGCCTAACAAGCTGGGTGTTTTTTAAATTGGATTACTATTTTATGTTGAGTCACATACGAGTTAAAGGGAGATGTGAAGTGATGTAGGGAAAAATAAGAAAAAGAAAATGGTGACAAATCCTTTCAGAAAGGATCGTAAAGCAGATATTCAGTGTTCTCTCCAGTATAAACTGATGACATGGACATTTCAAGAGCTACATTCCATCATGTTCGTTCACTCACTCGATGTTTTTTTTTTTTATATATATATATATATATATATATATATATAAACAACTCTAGTGAAACACTAATTTCAGTGAATTATGTACAGGAGACAGTATGTAAAAAGTGTTGTTTGTTTCTATTTTAATGTTCTTAATAAATGTAGATTTGAAAGTCCACGAAGTGTAGTGCAGATTCTGAATGTTTTACTTTACTTAATGCTTTACCTTTCACACTTATCACATTAGCTGAGCTTTGAGATCACATGATACATGATTCTTTTATATACAACACACTTGAGTAGCAGCTAGGCTACTCGCGATCCTCTGAGGCATTTCTACAATGCGCGTTATGTATCACACATGTATAAGTGTTTCTAATAAAGTGGATAGTGAATATACACTCACTGTCTCCTTTATTAGGAACACTTGTACACAACTGTACTTTTCTAATCAGCCAATCATCTGGCAACAGCACCTCAATGCAAAAGAATCCTGCATCAAATGAAGAAACCGTGCGATCTCAGTGGCTTTAACCGTGGCATGGATGTTGGTAGAGATGGTGAAATGAAGCACCAAGGCTTTCCCCCTTAACTGTATCATGAAATGGTTCTTTACTCAAAGCTATTCAACACAGTTCACAACAATAACATCTTGTGGTCCAAGGGTTGAAAAGCTGCCTTTGTGTCCCAGAGGACTCAGCCAATTTTTTTTTATTGTTTCATGTAATAAATCAATCGCTTTGTACTTTCAAAACCATGAACACAATAAAAAATATTTAGTCTATCATGTGTCAGTGTTGTAGTATTTACATAATGTATGAATAAATGAGTCTGAAATTTTATGAACCTTCTTTGATCAACACACGCGGCCTTATCCACAAAAGTTGTCTTACCTAGGAGTTATAGGCAAGGCTCATGTAGGCATGCATTTATACATTTGTATATATGCATGAACAAGTTTATTCTCTTGGGTCTTGACAAACCTGAGGGATGTCATTAAGGTTGCTCTGTGAAAAATACACGGAAATACACCACCAGAGATTAAGAACGAAGGAAAGGGGAAAGATGGTGGGAGAGGAGGAGATTGAGTGAGAACGGGAGAAAGGAAGGAAGAACAATTGGAGGGAAGTGGGGGGATAATGATATAAAAATTAAAGCAAGAATTTGAGAGTACATGAAAGGAAGGGGATGAGGAGTAAGAAAGAGAGGAATATGAAAAGGTGAATAACAAGAAAAATTAAGAGAAAGAAAGGAGCAAAAAGGTTCAAAAGAAAGAGACAGAGAAGTGAAAAAGAATAGAAGAGCAGAAAGAAAACGAACCAAGTTAAATTAAGCCTAATTTTCCATCACCACCAATGAGTGTCCTGTAAAATATTTAGACTTTGTCACCTTCTCTCATTCTTGGAACACTTTTGGGAATTTTACCTGGTGGTTTGGACATATCAGTCAGATGGTTAAAAATTAGCCTGTGCATGGTAAAGAGTTGCAGAGTTAAACACTGCAGCTGTAGACTAACAACACAAACATGTCCACATGAAGGTTAGTTGAGATTAGATCACTGCATCATCAGACATTTCACCTGCTTTATTTCACACAAGGACTGGAGGAAAAGATCTTGAATTAAAAGCGTGATGGTGTTTAGTTCTGAATGTGTTTCATGCTAATCCACTGTTCACCATGAATCAGCTGTGTAATAGCTATCTTTATCCTCAATTTATAAAAGAACAGTTATATTGCTTTAGATGTAAAGAACACAATGCCATGTTTTTGAAATGATGGACAGTTGAAGACATCTTCAAAATACACGTATCCTGTAAAGTTGAGACAAAGTATTGATTTTGACGTTTCATGGAAGTAATACAAAACTTTTTTTTGGATTTGAAATGATTTATTTTTCATTTCAGTTTTTTTCATTCCTGCTCCAACATTCCATGCGCAGCTCTTTAGTTAGAATAATTGAAAAGAACTGTTCATATTCTTTCCATAAGACAGACAATTCTGCTTATAGGAAGCCTTTTTAAAACAAAACTAATCAAAACTAGAAACGTGTATTTATTTCTCACATTTTCAGAGCATTCTTATTCATAAATCATGTGTGATATTTTTCCATTTTTAATCTGATCGAGCAACGAGATTGGGGTGAAAAACAAATAGAAACGTTTTAGCAGGGAAAAAAGAAAACTTAGAATTGCCTGGTTGCACATGTGTGCACACTGTTTAAATAATACTTTTTTAAAGCATGTGATTAATTTTCTTTGTTGAAACTTTGATGTTTTTCTTTATCTTCTGCTGTCTAACAGAAACATTCAGATTTTGTGCCAAAATACAGCAGTATTTGGAGCTATCCATTATTCACTCTTGACCAGAGCCTCAGTCCCAGCTAAAAAGAAGCACCCACATGGCATGTTGCTGCCACCACCGTGCTTCACTGTAGGTGTAGTGTGCTTTGGGCGTTTGGTGTTTTTGCGCCAAACATCCTGTATCTTTTAGAATTATGCCATACCTTGTTCTCATCAGGCTATAACACATGGTGTGATTTAGCAGGCTTGGATTTTGTGTGTGTGTAAGAGAGAAAGGTCTTCTGTCTAGCCACCCTACCTTTTTCACAACCCAGACATGTGAAGAATATGAGAGACTAGTACTTTGTGGGCAGATATTCCTGCTATGTTGTAATATTTGTAATCTGGCAGCCTCCCTGATAAGTTTTCTTCCTGTCCTTGGTAAAGTCATTATGGTGTCCTATTATCGCCGCTTGTTACTGAAGGCCTTCACAGTCTCCCATAGTACAGCTAATGTTTTGGAAATTCTTTTGTACCCCTTTCCTGTTCAATACTTTTTGACACTGAGTTTTATACATGCTTAATAAGACTTTTTATATATACGTAGCTCCAGAACTTTGAACTTTTCATATTCAATGTAACTGACCACTCTTCTAAAAACACTGTGACTTTACAGTCATTATCTTGTGCTTTGTGTATTATGTATGATAGCATGATGGCCTAATTCACTTCAAATCAATGGTTGTACAAGGGCCTCCTAATGGCCAAAGCACCTGGGCATGTAATCAGCCTAGGCAGCAGCTCCATGCATAAAACTATAAGCACATGTCAAGAGCTTCAGTTAATGTTAAGATCATACATCAGAATGGAGAAAAAGGTTATCCAAGTGACCTTGCCCAGGGCATGACTGTTGGCGCCAGATGGGCTGGTTTGAGTGTTTCAGGAACTGATTTTCACAAATAGCAGTATGTAGCGTTTTTTTGAATTGTGTAAAAGGTATATAAAAAGAAAAACACCTAATGCATGACCGTGCCTGATTTGTACACCATTTGGCAGACACCCTTAACCATGCAACTGACACTGATGCTTCTTATTTATACAATGGTAGGATTAAGGGCCCCACAATGGCAGCACTGGGATTTGAACTCCCAAGCTTTTGAATAGTAGTCTAATGTATTAACCACACAACTACCACTGCCCCTTGTTGATAAGAAATGTCAGTGGAGAATGGACAGAGTGGTTCAAGCTGACAGGAAGGCCAGAGTAACTCAAACTCTCTCTACAACAGTTGAGCAAAAAAGCATCTCAGAACACAGTTTTAGTATGAGGTTCCTAATAATTTGGTTGTTGCGTGCATCTAACATAAAGCATGAGTTGCATTACTAGATTGCAGTATTAGTAGAACATACTATTGCATACCTTTTACATTAATATTAGCTCCCCTCTTGTAATCTATAACATCAGCAATGCTGTTTACCTAAGCCACAGCAACATGTAAATATGGTCTTAAGCTACAATGCTAAATCAAATCATGGCATTAGTGCAATATCACTATCTTAATATTGAAAGACAGTGGCAAATATATTAAAGCATTTTTTTTCTTTGTCTGCCCTGTACCTGTAATTTCACTCATTGTTCTTGGCTGATTGTGAACTATAGATCTACTCGCTGTCACAGCTAGCTAACTGCTAACTAATTTCTGACTATCGATGATGGATACTACTTTTAGTGTAGGTTTAGTTATAGCAGGGTGGGCACAGAGGCTTAGTGGCTAGCCTGTTTGCCTTGCACCTCCGGTATAGGGGATTTAAATCCCTGTGTGGTGTGTGTGTGTGTGTGTGGAGTATGCATGTTCTCCCATTGGTTTTGGTGGTTTCTCCTCCAGTCCAAAGACATGCTTAATCGGCTGATTGGCATTTACAGATTGGCATTTATGATTTGGCATCTCGTCCAGGGTGTCCCCCATCTTGTGCCCCAAGTTCCCTGGTATTGGCTCCAGGCTCCCCCACTACCCTGTGTAGGATAAGCAGAATGGAAAATGCATGGATAGCTAGCTAGCCCTAGGTTGTAAAGGGGACATGACAACACCTACAGTTGTGAAATAACTTCTTTTTTTTTATAATGATGTTTCTTAGAGACAATCTTGAAAAATACTCACTGCTTCTTGCCCATTCCTCATGGCATCTACATTACTGTCTGTTTCAATTTGGTTTTATTTACAAAAGCCAGATGGAGATGAGATATGGTAAATAATGACCACTAGTGTTGCAAGAATAGCAGGTAATAGCATAATTTCAAAGAACTCCAGCACTTGCAAGCAAAAGAAAAAACCCAAGCAGGACAAATCAGTCTCAAGACAAACCATTCCACCAGTTCTCCTAAATGTCCCGATGGCCAGTCCAGGACTGGCATACGCCAAATAGGCTCAGTTGGTCATCTGTCCCTGCAGAAACCTTAAAACCTAAAAAGGGACTTCCACTTGCACATGAATGGGACACTATTAGGTGGTGCTAAATGCTCTACACTGCATTTCACTTTCAGAAAAAAAGCTACAGAACTGCACCATCGCTTGTTCAATGGGTGTTTAGTACAGGGGTCGAGTAACTGAATAGAGCACTTTGGGGAATTTTACCTGGTGTTTTGGACATATCAGTCTGAGCTAGTTAAAAATTAGCCTGTATATGGTAGAGTTGCAGAGTTAAAAACTGTGTCTGTAGACTAGCATGTAACACAAACATGTCCAGTTGAGTTAGTTGAGATTAGACCACTGCGTACATCAGTGGCATATCACCTGCTTCATTTCACACCAGGACTGAAGGAAAATCTCTTGAAATAAAGGTGTGATGGGGTTTAGTTCTCCATGTGTTTAATATTATTGTTCATTCCTTCCAATGTTCAATATGAAATGACTTATGTATTTGTATTTATGTATGTATTATCTACCTTAATCTAAATTTGATAAATGAGAATGTTATTTGGGGGGGAGCATAGATGCAAAGAAAGTAAATAGTCGCATTTGGAAAAGATTGAGAGTTTGTAATGTAACACATAGGATCAACACAATACTGAATGTGTTCAATTTGAGGTATATTCTATTCTATAATATTCTAACACCTTAATTAAAATTAATTGGCCCATTTGTTGGAATGTTTATAATTTTTTGCTTTCAGAGGAGGAAATTTCACAGAAATTCCTTTTTTTTTTTTTTTGCTTTTGACTGGCATTTCAGAGAAAGCAGCCACATTTAGCATTTATTTTTCATGTCATTGTTGGAATAATAATAAAAAAAAACACTGTTTGCTAATTTAGCTCTCACCCCAAAAATAGTTTTCATCACCCACTGCATACAATCTGTATTTCTAATCCGGACAACAGATGGCTGTATTCTCTGTGTCCGTCTCTGTCCTGTGCCATAGCAGAGTGCAGTCAGGTGTCCTAATGGCTCTGCTCGAGACCCAAAATGTGTTCCATCAAATGCCACAAGCCACATGACTTCCGGTTGTCTTACTCCCTGCCCTCACTTCCTGTGTACATGCCTGATCTCCCTGTCCCCTCTGCCTCCCACCCTTTATTCTGGTGCTGTTTACCAAAGTGAGGACATGGTTTAGCTTGTGCACGGCTATAGATATGTCTGTGTGTGACAAACGATGCGTATATATTTGGTGGTTGTTGTTTTTTTGTTTGTTTGTTTGTTTGTTAGTGTAACAGGGCTGTATGGCTTGAGACGAGGTTCATGCTGCTGATACTGCATGATGAGGACTACAGTCACATGGCCATATATCAGATATACAGCCCCCTCTGAAACTATTGGAACGACAAGGCTAACTCATTTTTTTGTGTTGTACACCAAAGACATTTGGGTTTGAGATCAAATGATGGAAATGAGACGAGAGTTTAGATTTCAGCTTTTATTTCCTGGTATTTACATCTAGACATGTTAAACAACATAAAACGTAGAACATTTAGTATCAGAACACCCAATTATTAGGTGAGCAAAAGTATCGGAACACATACGTCTTGAAGTATATGAAAGTAAAGAACACTTAATATTTGGTTGCACATCCCTTTCTTGCAGTAACTGCATCAAACCTGTGACTCACTAACTTCAACAAACTGTTGGTTTCTTCTTCTGTGATTTTTAACAGGATTTTTCCACAGCCTCTTTCAGTTGCTGTTTGTTTCATTTATTTAACTTTTACATTTACTCATTTAGCAGATACTTTTATCCAAAGCAACTTACAAATGAGGAAATTTTTACCTGATTAGTTGGGTTAAGGTCTGATGATTGGGGATTAAAATCTTCCAATTTTAACTCCGTTGTCATGCAAACCCAAGCCGTGAGACTACCTCCACCATGTTTCGCAGATGAGCTCGTATGTTTTGGATAATGAGCAGATCCTTTCTTTATCCCCACCTTTTCCTTTCCATCACTTTGGTAGCGGTTAATCTTGGTTCCAGAACTTTTGTGTCTCCACTCTGTGTTTCTTTGTGAATTCCAATCTGGCCTTACTGATTCTCACTGCTGATGAGTGCTTTACATCTTGTGGTATGGCCGCTATATATCTCTGCTCTTGATGGTGGATTGTGATGCCTTCAACCCTGTTCTGTGGAGGTTGTTGATGATGTCTTTGACTGTTGTTTTGGGGTTTTTCATCACAGCTCTCACAACGGTTCTGTAATCAGCTGCTGTTGTTTTCCTTGGCCAACCTGATCCATGTCTGGTTGTTAGTACATCAGTGGTTTCTTTCTTTTTAAGGTAATTCAAAATTGTTGTATTGGCTATGACGAATGTTTGTGCAATGGCGCTGATAGATTTTCCCTGTTTTCTCAGCTTCAAAATGGCTTGTTTTTCTCCCATAGACAGCTCTCTGGACTTCATATTGGTTTATCCCTTTTAACAACAAATGTAGTCTTCACAGGTGAAACTGAAGGCTAAAACCAAGAGTAGATGTTCAGATGTGCTATTTATTGTTTAAACAAAAAATATAACAGGACACACCTGGGTAACAAGTAACACCTTTCAGACACATGTTCCAATATTTTTGCTCACCTTCAAATGGGTTGGCCTGATACAAAAAGTGCTATGCTCAATGTTGTTTAACACATCTACATATAAAAACCAGGAAAAAAAAATTTTTTTTTTCATTTTTTATTTATAAAATCAAATATTCAAGTTAGTCTACAGCAAAAAAAAAAAAAAAAATATATATATATATATATATATATATATATATATATATATATATATATATATTGATTTGGCCTTGCTGTTTAAATAGTTTTGGAGGGAACTATATTCTCGATCTAGCACCACATACGAAAGTGGCTTTTTGATTTTTGTGTCCACACAATCCTTAAAATCATCATGACTATTTAATATTTTGAATGAGGATCAGATTTGTGTCACTTAAACCTGGTCATGGGAACATATCCATGTGCATGATTTTATACACTTCTGTACAATAAAAAAAAATCTAAAAGATTTATAGGTGTAGTGAATTGCTCATTAAATCTTGGTGTAGTTTTTCCCCTTCTCCTCTTCTACTCTGTTTTTATCCTCCTCGAGTGCCGTTGCTTCTTGCCAGGCTGCCACTGTAAACAACAATTTGTTTTTTAATGACCGGTCTGACTAAATAAAAGGTTAAAAAAACAAAAACAGTAGAACTAAAATCCCTGAGAGTTCATTCAGCATCTATTCTGTTTCAGTAACAAGCACAAATTTAGTATTTTACTTTTATTCATTTCCAATCTCATTAAATTTCTGTGCATTATATCATCCTACAGTTTCTCAGCAAAGACAACAAGAAAACAAATCAATATTCGCAATGACAGCATGCTGATTTATACACGCCCCTGTCTGAGCTGGGATTCTTTCTACAGATTGAAAGGGTGGAAGGACTGCAGGTATGGAACCAGAGAGATGAAAATGCAGCTGTTATTCCTGATATCTATCTCTCTCTCTCTCTATCTCTCTCTGTTCATTGCTGTGACTTGTGAATTAAGCCCTGTGAGACATAAAACAGCAAAGAAACAGTACATGGACCAAAAACACACAAATACACACACACACACACACACACACACACACACACACACACACACACACACTAGGAGCCTGGCAGCAGAAACACTCCAACATGTGTGTTTCTCTTCAGCAGATTAATGGCACTGTATTCACATTCACATAGAGTAGTGGGGA